AGATGAGATAGAATAATGATTCGTATACATGCTGCGACCATACTTGATTTATTTATGATTACTGTTATATTGTGAATAATGTTTACTGCATAGTGGTGAGCACGGTTTTCATTTGTGCTCACCCCCACCTGCTCTTCATAGATGCACGTTAGTAAGTGCGGGCACGACGGAGGGATGCGAGTGGCGGTCGGTCATTGATGTCAAACTTATTATTTGATATAGCTTCCGCTTATTGAACTGATTAATGTTTTTATTGCATTTATGATTATTGAGGATTGGAATTATGGAATATTGAGGATTGATGATTGATGAGTTATGATTGAATATTGAGGATTGAGATTATTGTTGAATATTGATGTAAACTTTTGAAAATGAGTAACGCCACAAGTGATTTTGAAATAAATTTGAAAAATTTATTATGATTTTCGTCAAATAAAAAGTGGGGCGTTACACCCTTATATTGGGATGAGGTCAGAGAAAGGAAGACATGGGTCCGGAGTTCATTCGTAGGACTTCGGAACAGGTTGATGAGATCCGGAAGAAGATCAAGGCTGCCCAGGAGAGGCAGAAAGTCTACGCCGACAGAAAGAGACAGGAGCATCAGTATGACGTTGGCGATCATGTCTTTCTGATGGTCGCACCCATGAAGGGTGTGGTTTGCTTCGGGAAGAAAGGGAAGCTTCGGCCTGCTATATCCGGCCCTTTTAGATCCTTGCACGAGTCGGAGACTTGGCTTATCGGTTAGCTTTACCGCCATAGTTGTCGGGAGTACATCATGTCTCGATGCTATGTAGGTACGTGCATGATCCAGAGCACGTGGTGGACTTGGGAGAGTTGCAAGTCGAGCGGGACCTTACCTATGAGGAGGTACCGGTGACTGTACTGGACCGGAAGGTTCGTCAGCTGAGGAACCATGCAGTAGTCTCGTCAAGGTGCTGTGGAGCCGACACGACGAGTCTGAGACTGTCTCAGAGCCATTCTCTATAACTCATCTTTTGTTCTGTTTGAAATGCAAAAGTCGCGTTAGATGAACTAATGAGAAAAAATAGTTGAAAATCGATATATTTTTTAAAGTCGGTTGGGCCTGCGGCCTACCCATGTGGGCCTACTTGTTTAGGCCCTCTCCTTTGTGGGCCTTAAAAATGGGGGCCCAACCCACCTTTAAGACATAGGGCCCGGTCCACGGGCTTAGGCCCATTTTAAGAAGTCTAGTATAAGAAAATTTGAAAAAGTGTGTGACATGTTAATCAGAAAATTAAAGAAAAAAAAAGAAAGAAAGAGAAAATGGAAATCTGCAAATTTGTAGTTGAAATTTTTTTCCAGCAGACTTACTCAACTCCATAGTTGACACATGCACAGAACATATTCCGCGTCTCCAGCAACACCTTCCAAATTCCAGAGCTTCTTAATAAACAACACCAGATCTCCTTAATCTTCGCCTTTTCCTTCATTTTCAACCAACCCTAATTCCCCCCAATTTTCAACCATAAACTCACCGCGGCAGCCCCTCCATTCCCTATTTTATACCTTTCCATCCATCCCAACATTCCCCTCTCCCCCATTGCACGCACATTTCCCTTGTTTGCAGAGAATTCAAAAACCCAGATCCTGATCATGGCGGCGGAGCGCGAGGAGAGCGTCTACATGGCCAAGCTGGCCGAGCAGGCCGAGAGGTACGAGGAGATGGTCGAGTTCATGGAGAAGGTCTCTGCGTCGCTGCCGGACAAGGAGGAGCTCACGGTGGAGGAGCGCAACCTGCTGTCCGTCGCCTACAAGAATGTCATCGGCGCCCGCCGGGCCTCATGGCGGATCATCTCCTCCATCGAGCAGAAGGAGGAGTCGAGGGGGAACGACGACCACGTCACCACAATCAAGAGTTACAGATCGAAGATCGAGTCGGAGCTCTCCAACATCTGTGACGGTATCCTGAAGCTGCTTGACGACAGGCTCATCCCCTCCGCCACAGCCGGAGATTCCAAGGTGTTCTATCTCAAGATGAAGGGCGACTATCACAGGTACCTAGCGGAGTTCAAGACTGGTGCCGAGAGGAAGGAAGCTGCTGAGAGCACTCTCACTGCCTACAAGGCTGCTCAGGTTTGCCTCTGTTCTGATACTTTTGTGGATCACCAAATGGAAATATTCATGGTTTCTGATGGTTGACTGCACATTTTGAGCCATCCCAGGCCTATCTATTCATTACTCATTTGCTCAATTAATCTCCCTATTAGTCAATCAGTTTTAATTGAAATTGCCACACAAATTTGGTGGTTATATGTACTGACTTGTGACTTATCTACTGTGCATCCTTAAATTGTATTGCCACATTTGTGTGATTGTGACTTCCAATGCCAAAAAATAGTGAATTCCATTCTATATTATTATCACTGATGCAAATTATCAGTTACTTGGGTAGATCTTGATGAAAAAAGTATACTTCTTTAAATTACTTATAGCTCTGTTTTTAATAGTGATCGCTTTATCTCAACATTCTTAACTTTTGATATGAATTAATTTTAATAGATTTGTATAGTATATTGTTAACCTTGCCTTGCAGAAAAGTTGATGACTATGTACTTTTGCTTGTGCAGGACATTGCTAATGTGGATCTAGCCCCAACTCACCCAATTCGTCTTGGACTGGCCCTGAATTTCTCAGTATTCTACTATGAAATTTTGAACTCACCGGACCGTGCTTGCAATCTTGCAAAACAGGTAAATATTGTAACATACTTGAATTTGTGTAGCTGTTCAGATTTGTTTTCATTATAAGAGAACATTACAAGATTTGGGAATTCGTGAAATTTGGCAATCGATTTGTTAGTAAATGCAAGCTAAATAAAATGATATTTATAATTTTGTTGTTCATCTGCCATTTGTGCAGGCTTTTGATGAAGCAATTGCAGAGTTGGATACCCTGGGTGAGGAGTCCTACAAAGACAGCACCTTGATTATGCAACTTCTCCGTGACAATCTTACCCTATGGACCTCTGACATGCAGGTAGGTATTTTGTTAAAAATTCTCACATGGAAAATTCTTCTGAGGGATAATACAGTACACACTCTTATATAAAAATGCATGCTATTGTGGGAACTTTAAGAACATATGAACCTTAACAGGTTTTATATAAATACTTCACGACGATCTTAGTAGATTTGTGAGAAAATTGATTGGATTGTTTTGTTATTAAGCTAAACATCAAGGATAGCATTTGTAATTGTCCGAACTTTTACATACTAGGAAAACTACAAACATAGAACTCTCACTTGACTATTTGTCCCACTTCAGCTCATTCTTTTAGCAAATTTGAAAAATGGAGATGTTTTCTTGACAATTGGAATTGCACTTGAATTTCAACTATCTTTGCCGTTGCTTAATTTGGTTTGTATCTTATTGTTGATGCAGGATGAAGGAGCCGATGATATCAAAGAGGCTCCCAAAACTGAAGAAGGGCAACAGTGAAGTTAAATTGTCTTTATCTCCATTGGCGGATTTTTTTGGCAGAAAAATGCTTTAAGTTCTGTTTCTTGCTACATTGTGTTCTAGGATTTTGCATTGTGGTTACTGAATTGTGTTTCATATTGATTCCTATTTCTGCAAATCATTAATTTAAAGTACGCCTCGTTCTTTATTGTTCCAAAAGATGTTACTCGCCAATTGTTGTTGGAGTAGGCAATATTATTTACTTACCTTCTTTGGATGAACTTCATCTCAAATATGATTGTTGATGTCTGTTCCCGTTAATTTGACTACCGAAGTGATTGTGTGCTATTTAGGATGTGATTTAGTGTCTTGGAGTGATTTGTTAATGAAATAAGAAGAGAAATAGAAACAACAATGATTGGATTGTCGATGAATTAAGGTGTCTACACTCGTGATTTTATTTATGGTTTGGGCCTCTCCTAGACCACTTTTTTAGAAGAATGTGTCGAAGGCAATTAAGAAAGCAACAAGAAATCTAAGCATATATACTGCAATATCTAAAGAGTTGGATATCAATTGCATGCCCATTTGAACCCTCGAGACCTAGTTATTTATAGACGGGAAGACCTTAAAAATATAATGTAGTCGAGACGCATGCGGTCCCATAGAGGCCAGCGACATGCATGGCGGCACGTGTCTTTGCAACTTGCCCAATTTATGCAAAAGACATATCCTTCTGGGCATGGGAATCTGTTTTGGGGAGGTAATCTCTTTCACACAAGCGCTTAGTAGAGATCGACAAGGAGGAGGCCTTGCGTCAGACCATAGGGAGAGGTAACTTAGTTTGTCTGATTACCCTACCGTTCGGACATAGATCAACGTATATGGAGAGATTGGTCTGCGTAAAGAGATAGGCTGTCAGGATGGCGTCTTTCGTTGTGGTTGATGTTCTTTTGGTCCTTGGGTTTCTGGGAACATCATTAGCACAGACTATATCGTTCACGTCATAGCTAATTTAGTAGGTTTTATCCAGGTCGAAAAATTGTGGGTATCAGCATAAGGTCCCAGGTTCCTAGGATCAAAAGTACTTTGTCTGGTCGTAAGAAGCTATTTGGTTTCTTTTGAGTGTTTGGGGGTGAAAGTATATTTGGAACTAGACGTTTGATGTTGTGAGTGGTTTCTTCGAAAGGTCTTCCATGATTAATGGGATACGGGTTCTTTATTTGAGAATATAAAGGTTACGCCTTTCAGAATTCTAAGAGGGTAATCATGACGGTTTTTCTCATAAAGATGGGTGTTGGCCTGTGGAATAGCGTGTCCTCATTGTGATTTTCCAAGTGTTAGAATTTGAACCGTTGGCGTGCGAATGGTCGATTCTTTTATTAAAATGTCTTATATATGCATTTAATGAGGCTAATGCGTGGACCTAGGAAGACAAATCAGGGTATTTTTATATAAGGGAAGGCATATTTCCTTTCGTTCCATTTGACAAAAATTCATTCTTCTTCTTTTCTTTTTATGTTTTTATTCTTCTTTCCACTTTTGTCCTCTCAAATAGGGAGGATTTGTGCTGGTAGTGTAACACCCCGCTTTTCCATAAATATCAGAGTGCATTTTTCGCAAATTCTTTTCTTAATAAAACATGTTCATTTGCGAAGTCCTTTTCGGGATGCTACTAAAAACCATTCATTGCTTTGAAAATCCGTTGTCTCTATTTAAATTTACCTTTGAAGAATAAACGGATTATTTTAGATCAACTAGCATGTAATACTTTATAAAGAAAATCTGTCTGACAAATCAATTTTAAAATAAAAACTGACATGCTAGATGAATTATCGTAAAATGACAGCAAAAGTCAAACGTGGCAAAACATAACTGCACAATAATGTACAATGGCTACTAGCCATGTCCCAAACAGCTCCGTCATCTCACTCCTCCGTCCCGACTTCATGACCTGAAAAACATGATAATAGTGGGAGATTGAGTACTAAAAACACTGTACTCCGCAGAAACTCATACTAAAGTAAACAGTGACAATAATTACAATAACATGATCCTGACATATACATGAACTGAACTAAACATAGCATGATACCGGTAACCGTTGCCTCATAACCG